ATCAAAATTATTGTGGTTAATCTGACATATTTATTGTTTTCAAATAATATTTATCACATGGAAGAAATTTACACCAACCAAGACAGTAATATAATATCATCTAGTTAACAAATTCACATGTATCCACATCTATATCTATGATATTAAGAATCACACGATGAATACCATCCATTTACTTGCATATTCGACAGGATATTGGCCAATTCACTTGATAAAATAATGAGCAAACAAGATTTAGATTTCTGTATCATCTTCAGGGGGGAGTAAACCGTGTGGACACCAAAGCATATACCTGTATAAACGGCCCAACGGCCTAGAAAAAGTTAATTCAGCCCCATAATGAAAAGGTGACAAAACTCATGAAGCACGTTGGGTCCTTTATTATTGATTGTCCTTTCAATAATGGAGAACAGAGGCCCTCTTGGGCAGATGATCTTTCTTTGAGGCAGGCACGTAAGCCCTCCAAGTAACCTTTCCTTTTCAAGACTAAAATAAACTATAGGCTGAGGATATTGAACCAGTCTCCATCCATCAACCCGTCACCCTCTCCCTTCAAATCAATCTATGCCATTAGTTTTTTGAACAGTTGTGAGATGTGACTGCAGACTCTATCCCCTCTCCCTCTCTCTCTGTGTAAAGTCTTCTGCGAAAAAAAAAAAGAATGGGGTTATATTGTTTTTTGGCTGTAAAGTCTTCTGCGAAAAAAAGAAAAAGAAAAAAGAATGGGGTTATATTGTTTTTTGGGTTTTTATATTAATTGTTACATGTAAGTTTGTTGTAAAAATATTATTTTAAATTTGTTTTTAATGTTATAAATAAAATAAAGTCCATGGTTTGTTAACCAACGAACCAAGTTTGATATGATATATTTAATTTATTTTCCCTCCACTCCATTTTATATAATAAGATAAGTTTATTTGACTCGGATTATATGTGAATATAATAACATCTTAGGTAATTGTAAAGAATATTATAAAAATACTGATTTATTTTGTATATAGTTGATTGAAATTATTATAGAATGCGCTAATTTAAAGCTAAAAATAAACTAAAACCCACTAAGATTCACAACAACAAATTGATTTAACTCGTGTCCCAGAATTTAGCCAAGAGCATATATCCCCAAAACCAAAGAAGGGGCCATGCTCAATAATAATTTACTCCTTTTTCACCTCTTAGTTTGAAGTTTTTTGTTCTTATCTCCTTGATTCCATGCGTGATAGCACAGAAATTCTTGGCATTTGCCCTAGATATGTATTTTGGCATCATAGGAGCTTTCCCTAAAGCTTGGACAGATGCCCACCGCCACCGCCCATCCTGCATAAATAATAAAGCCTTCTTTGTTTTTAAATGCAATTGTCAATCGGCACCACATCTACGGTTTTAGGGAAGGTGATTTTGATATTGCCATAATGATAATGGTTAAAATATTTTTTATTTAAAAAAAATATTAAAATAAAATATTATTTTTTAAAATTTATTTTTAGTATCAATATATTAAAATGATCTAAAAAATTATTTTAAATAAAAAAATTAAATATTTTTTAAAATATAAAACAATATCTTTTACATCATATTCTCAACGCATCCTTGTTTAAAATTCCAGCTTTAATAAAGGATGGTTAAAATTTAATTTTTTTGTTTGAAATTATAATTTTAATGTTTTAAAATTGTTTTTGATGTGTTAACATATAAAATAATTTTAAAAATATTAGTTTTATTTATTTTGGAGGGAAAAAATATTTTTAAAAGCAACTACTATTAAACTTTGTTAAATAATCAATTCAATAAAAAAAATTAAATTGTTAGGTAAGATTTTATGATATAATTTATATTATTATTTAACATATCATTTTAAGTGAAAGTCTTTTAAATTTAAAATTTTTACATGCTAACATTATCTTATATTTAATTTTTATATAATAAATAAAGATAATAATATTCAAATCTGTGACTACTTGATCATCAAAATTCTAACATAATATCAAAGAATCAATTTAATTTTAAAACTTAAATTATTAAATAAAATTTTATAATATTATTTATATTATTTTCTACCATAATTCTAAATAACTTGCAATTAAATTATTATCATATGGATGAAACCCTAGCGAGCATTACCGATCAACATAAATCCCATAGCACTATGAGAATTACTGCATTGATGAAATTATTATCACATGGATCGAAAGCTCACCCCTCTTTCAAAACCTTACTTGCTAAGATCGCATGCCTATCCTCTAAGCCATGTCTCACTATTCTAGTAGTTGTTTGCACCGTTATTTAATTTTATAGTTTAATTATTTTTTTTGAAAAGTTACAATTTATTTCATTAGTAAATGTAAAATAAACTAAATGATGTAAATTATTGCACGTGCAACAGAATTTAGAAGATAAACTGTAATTTTTTTAAATAGAAGGATTAAGTATAAAAATAATTAAATTATAGGATAATAAATATAATTTTCCCTAACATCAATCATGAAAGTTAATTTATATTTTTATCTAATTTGTTGTGTAGTCAAATAATTTTACCTACATGTGCAGGATTTACATATATAAATGTACATTCTCTTCAATTAAGACAATCTAAAGTATTAAAGTGTTATGTGAGTCCAATATTATGTTGTCCTATCTGAATGTATTGGTTTTTTTTTTGTGAGGTGTTTATAGCTTGTATTGTTTATGATTATATATTAATTAATTCTAATAAATTGTTATATATTTTTTTTTAAATTAGAAAGTTGAATATTTACATATTAAATATTTTATATTTAATTTTTAATAAATTTATAAAAGGCTTGATTATGCTCAGCACGCACGACTACCTCACGGCGGCTTATGATTTCGTATTGTGTCGAAAGTTCTATGAGAAATTTTTCAAAGATTTATTTTTTTATTTTTTTTATTGTGGATTGAATATTCTTGATGGCATCTTTCACAAATTAATTAATAGATAGCGTATAATGCTTGTTCTTTCTTTCTTGATTTATTTATTTATTTGTTATCAGAACACCCGAATCATCAATCATTTGTCAAATATCTTAGGTGAAACCTTCCCATGAGTAAGATTATGATTTAATTGGAATTGCGCAGCAAATGTCAACTTCCTTTTGAAATCTCCAATTTTGGATAATTAATCAATAAAAAAATATCTTTGATGAGGCGTGTTTTCTTGGTTATTAGGTTATTGTGTTTGTCTTTTCCTTTTAATTTTATTATTATTATCAAAATAAATGATAAAAAAACTTTTTTTAATTAAAAAATATTTTTTCAATTAGCCTTTTAAATCCTCTCATTTATTTATATCTATTTTTTTATACAATGTAAAAAAAATCCTCTAATTGCAACATGAATATTATAAATTTTCTCAGTAAACAAACACACTTGTTTCAATATATTTATGGTTGGGTTGAGAATCAAAGTGGGACTATTTCTCATAGTTGACTTCAATAAAAGAAGAAAGCTTGTGTGTTCAATAAAGTAAAGGTGAATTTTTATCAAAGTTATTAAATTAAGTTTAGTTATATGAATTGTTTATCCACTAAATTAATTTGATTTAAATTGTGTTTTAATTTAAACTAATTTTAAAATTATTATTATTAAATTCTAGTGACTAACATGGTAATCCACAACTTAATTAATCTAGTCGATTTCAGATTCAATGTAAAAATAACTTGATAAAAATAAATTATTTTATTTAAAAAATTGAAATAATAATATTTTTTAAAAATAATAGATTTAAATTAATTGATAAAGCAACAAATAACGTCTTGTTTTTCAAATATGATTCAAAATCTAACAACTATAATTGTTTTTTCAAAACAGAAAATTTTACTCTTTTCATACGTTTCTTCTGTATGCTCTTTAATTATGAGCCATTAATAAAAGGCAATGGACCGTTCGACGCCCATAAAAAAAAAAATAAAAAAATAAAAAAAAAAATAAAAGAAAAAAAAAGAAAAAAGAAAAAAAGTTATATACAAGAAAAGT